CCTGCACCTGTCAGTTATTTCCAAGAAGCTGAATCTTTGGGATTGATTCTCAGTGGAGGGCTTAGATCATACAAATCTTTATTGGGTCCGTGTGTTCTCATTTCCTTCACTGTTACTTATTTTTGTTTGTTTTTTTTGTTTTGTTTTAATCTCTACAGCACACTTAATGCAACTTTTAAAATCTGCAGGTTTTTGATGTCTTGTGGAAATTTGCAGAGGGGTGGGTGTGTGGTAAACGGGTAATGCATGGGAACTAATGAGAAACAGCTTACAGAGTTTGAACTTCTTTTCTTGTCCCCACCACCTCCCAAGAACCTGCAAGTATAATAATCATCTTGTCCCTTTTCTCATGTTCAGCACTTTAATTTTTTGCCTTACCTCCATGTGCAATGAGAATTACTTAGAGAATTGGTAAAGCATGTAGCTTTTTTAGTAACCTTAGAAACTATAGTTTTTCTAAGGAATCATAAACCTTGCCTGGACATTTGCCACCTAAAAAAGATCAGTGTGGTGCTGCGTTCCGGCCAGTAAATTCCATATTTTTTGGCTATCTCTCATCAAAAGTGAGCAGTTTCTGTGTATATATAGAAGGTAGAGATGGAAAGTGAGAAAATATTTGAAAGGGATTATATTAATTGCTAAATATTTTATTCACAAAGGTCAATTACATGGCAAGATAAAATTATTTGTATAGTTTTGTCTGGATGAAGCGAGAAGAATGTGGATGTATTGTTTGTATATATTGTATATATTAAAACAGAGATATGTGCATGAAACCAAGAAAAAAGAAGTGAACAAAAGCAAAGCATTAGTGGCTATGGTCTGTAAAATGAAACAAACAAACAAAAACTTTATTTCACTATAAGAGTACTTTATTTTAAATGTTCTTTAGAAGAACATTTTGCTAAAGCATGACTAAAAAAAAAAGCTACTGTATTTAGACTTAGGACAAAAGGCAGAGTAACATTACTTAAAAAAAAAAAAAAAAAAAAAGGTATGTTTACATTTAATTTTGGCTACCAGGAGTTTATTTTATTTTATTTAAAATTTTTTTGCCAATGGTGCCAAGTAATGTGAATGCTAATATTGCTTAAGAAAATTGTTACTTTTGCAAAACAGATAATCATAAGATGAATCAGTATATAGCTTAACACCATCCACTCACTCCCACAAAGAACACTTAGAATGATCAAAACCTGACAAAAGAAACAGTATGAAAAGTAGAAAAGTGTCTCACGTTTTCATATCTCCTGCTGGAAATCAGAAAATGTAATAAAAATTGCACAAAAGATAAACTATAAAAAGATGCAAACTGGTCTTGGAGGGATGTCATGGTATATTACTATTTCCACATAATGAGGAGCCAAAGAAATCTGATGCTTTTAAAAATTAAACTACTAATGTGAAATTGAGAGGATAAAGTTAGCATTTGCTGATGCCAGTTTAAAATTCCCAGCTTATGTTTGAGGATCACTTGAGATATAGTTTTTTCTTGGTTCTGGCTACCAACTGTAAGTTAAAACTCAAGGCTTGCTGTGAAGCCTAACAATAGTCACAAATAAGCTTTTAAACTGGTGTCTTCAGAAGGAAGGTAGATACAAAAAGATTGTGGTAAAAACTGGGGTCAGTGCTCTTGGTGCCTTTTCTATAATTGTACTTGTTTTTTAATTACTTCCTTTCACTGCCAACCTCGAATTACTGTACAGTATACGTCTTATTGCTTGTGATCAGCTTTGACAACAGTGACAGCCCCCACGACTAGTAGCCACCTGTACATTTGTAAACTGATCTGACTCAATTTTGTTTTTAAATGTGTGGGTTATGTTGCTGCTGTTGCAGTCCCCCAGATACCTATTATTTTACCCAATTTGACCTATAGGAAGACACTGAGTAATTTACAAACACACAATTGCATTCATAAATGGGAATGGAATATGAAGGGATAGAATGGGAAAGCCAGCTCTTTCAGAACATCCTCTATTAAAACTGAACTTGGATATGTTTATTCCATTTATTATGGTAAAACTGATTTTTGACAAGAGTAATGACCTCAGTGGATTTGCTTTAACCCTCACATTAATTTTTTTAAGTGTTTCACATGTCACATTATTAGCTGGATAAGTTAGAAGATTTCGGAAGATAGAGACTTACATAGAATTAGGTGGGTTCTTATGGAGGGGACAGGAAGTAGGTTCATAACCTACCTGTGTAACCTACCAGTACAACTGTGACTCCTAGGTGAGGTGAAAATGCACTTCCACTGAAACGAAGAATTTCTGACCACTTTTTCTTGGTTGTGAATCTTAATTTTGAATATAAGACGATAGGTAAGCGCAGCTTTCTTGGATAATCTGAATTCCCAAGTGCCAGGAGTAGGATTTCATTATAAAATTAATAGCTAATCTTATTCTGTCTCCTGAAGATTTAATTGCTATTCTTGTTACCCATTTGAAATCAGCTGTACTGTGTGAACGAAATACAGACAATAACACGAACCCCTCTATGGCTGCACGGTCGCTTATGGCAGTTCCACACAGTAGTTGGCGCCCAATGAGGGGTCCCTGAGACTTGCATGTAAAACTAGTCTAGATGTCTTCTTTTTGTAAGTTTTATTTTTGTAATTGTGCATGTAAAGCATCACTGAATCAATGGATCTGTTGAAGAACTCAGCTGCTGGAAACCATGCAAAATGTTTTGAATTGCCCTTAAAATATGGAAAATGTTTTCTGAATGCTTTATATTCTTTCTGCTGTAAATTAAAAAAATGAAGACAATTTCCCCATACTACACGTGTGTTTTGCTTTAACTTTACCTGATACTGAAATCCAAGGTGATCAGTATGTTTCAAACCATATGAAATAATTTCCAGTACTATATTTCCTTTGGTCCAGATATGCTGTGAAAGAAAAAAAAAAATCTTAGTAGGGCCATTGTTCCTAGAGCACTTGCTTTTCACCTGTTTTCCCAGGCACCTCTCAACGTATCACTTGTCTATAACTTCATGAAGTTATTTGAAAGGTAAAGACACCAATCTAAATTCATCCTTTCGCTTAAAATTCTGTGAAGTTTTTTAAAAATCATTTTCCAGCTGGCTGCTGACATCAGTTCTCCTTTCTGAGCATCTTCCTTTCAACATCATCGTTCATTCTTTCACTGCAAAGCCTCTTTCTATCCCTAATAGTTCTTCCATCCAGTCTGTCTCCTGTGCTACTGCCAGACCAGTTTTGCATCACGGGCCTCCCTACTGCATGATTCCTCAATGGTTTCCCAGAGCCCACTGCATTTAAGTGACGTTTTTCTTGCTTCCTTAACCTCACAATTGATTCAGTCTTTATTTCCACCTGGGCCCCAACCTGCACCCTCTGGTTGGTCTGTGCTCGCCACGCTCCCTCCACTATTGTCTCTGTTGGTATTGTTCATCCCTTGCCTGTAAAATTCTTTTAGCTATTTAACCAACTCAAATCCCATGTCATCTATGACACTCTCCTTAATACCAAAAAAAAAAAAAAAAAACCCACAAACTTGTTGCCATCGAGTTGATTCCTACTCATGGCAACCCTACAGAACAGAGTAGAACTGTTCTATAGGGTTTCCAGGGAGCAGCTGGTGGATTCGCACTGCCGACCTTCTGGTTAGCAGCCGAGTTCTTAACCACTGCACCATCAGAGCTCCGTTTACTCTAATATACACTAGTATTTCCCTTTGCAAATTATTCATTCAAGTCGGAAGAGGCAGTTCAGTAAGTATTTTTCACCTCTTAACTAATGGATCCTCTAGTTGATGCATCATAATGTATTTTTTTTAATGTAGGACAAAGATTGTCTATGTTGGTAGGAATACGTTCAGTAGCAATTTAAAATACATTACAAAGTAGCTCACTGCATTCAGACTTGTGCCTCCTTCCATTCAACCAAAAGTTTGAGGGTCTGCTTTGTGCTAGGCCCTAGGAATACAGAATTGAAGACACCTGTTCCTGACGTCAAAGCTCCTAAAAACAATATGATCTGTGCAATGACAAACTGTTACGTATGAATACATGAAAACAGGGAGCCTAACACAATGCCTGTGACAACCCAAATGAAGTTCCTATCTCATTGTTTTAAACAACTCTTGGGAAAACGTGGCGTCCCCAAGACCACTAGGTTAGTTTGGGACCATAAGCAGAGCACATCGACCCAGAAAAATGGTCCACGGGCTCAGAATCACATAGAGCGCCCACTCACACTCCAACAACTGTCCCTTCAGTGCCTAATACACCGCCAGGCAGAGCGCGTGCACTGACCACGCAGCAGACTCGGTCGTTCCCATTTTTCTCATGTCAGCTCGGGCGGCGTGGAGAGAGGGAGCCTCGCGTACAGACCTGCACGTTACGACTCAGAGAATGACGCGAGCAGTTCAGTCCCCTGCGGCCCATTGACAGTCGTTACGGCAGCCTCGCCGAGAGCGTGGAAGCCCCGCTCCGGTCCCACCCCTCGGCGACGCCCCGCCCACTTCCGGCGCGCCCTCCGCGGCTGCGCCTGCGCCACCGCGTCCGTCTCGGCCCCGTCTGGTGACGTCATCGCCACCACACCACCCACCTTCCTGCCCCTCTGCCCGGCTGCGGTCCAGGCTGAACCTTGTCGCAGACCCTCGCCCACCGTCTCCGCTGCCGCCAAAATGTGAGTGACGCGACGTGACGCGGGGTGGCTTCGGACCCTGGGGCGGCTGCCTGCGGCAGGGAGCCTGGCAGGGCTCGGTGTCGCCGGCCGCTGTTCGGACGCGGGCCGAGGCCGCGAGCGCGGGGCTCCGAGGCCTGAGATGGGCGGTGGCCCGGAGGTGCTGACTGTGGACCGGCCGGCCAGCCCCCGTGGCGCCGCCGACTTCCCAGAGGGCCCGGCGGGCGGCGGGCGGACGCGGCGATTTCCTGGAGAAAGACAACCTATCGTCACCCTCCCGACGCCATACTCCCCCCCACCCCGCACCGGCCTCGCCCCTCGCCAGTTCCTCTCTTTCCTCTCAAAGGTCGCTAAGAGGAGCGGCGACTACTGCCGTCCTTTTTGAGCGCCTTGTCTTTGCCAGGCGCTGTGCTGGGCTCCGGAAATTGCAAGGGAAAGGACCACGGCCGTTTCTTGAGGCACCTGCAGTCTGAGTACAAGAGCAGCTCGGAAAGGCAAAAGTGCACTTTGCTTAACTTGGAAAGATAACAGCTGAACTTGAAAAGATAACTTGACTATGATCCTTCTCCCTTTTTAAGCAAAAGCACTGTTGTAATAGCCCGTGAAAACGCAGCATTTCTAGTGGTAACATTCAGAGAGTCCAAATTGTTAAGAATTCCAAGGACCCTCTGTCCCCCTTTCAACTGACTCATTGCTCCCTCACAGAGGAAAAAAAGGAATGATGGCCTTTGCCGGGATTCCTCCTAGGAACTAGGGGACACCACTCTGTAGAATGTTCCTGCTGAGGCTGCTGTGCCGATAGATCATGGTGGTTAAGATCTAGATCTGTGGAATTATACATGACCTGGATTAAACACAGGCTCTACTACAACCAGCTATGTTGGCTTTCTAAACCTCACTCTACTCATGTAGAAAATAGGGATAATAATCGTATCATCCTTAAAAACTTTGGAGAATTAAGTGAGAAAGGGCCTGTGAGGACCAGTGCCTGGTCCCTAGCTGTTATCTGCCAGACACTAAACTCTTCGAGGGCAGGGTTTGGATCTGCTGTATCCCTGGTCTTTGGCATATGGTAGGTATTCAATACAAGGAGCTCTAGTGGTACAAATGGTTAAGCACTTGGCTACTAACCGAAATATTGGCAGTTCATACCCGCAGGAGAAAGACCTGGGATCTGCTCCCATAAAATTACAGCCTAGAAAACTTTATGGGGCAGTTCTACTGTGTCATATGGGATCACTATGAGTTGAAATTGATTTGACGACACCTGACAACAGCAGATATTCAATAATTATCTGTCCAATCCATAAATAAGTGGCTACCCTGTGCAAGCCACATACTAGGTGGTGTCTTGGATTCAGAGAAGAGAATGCTAAGATATAGGAGCCTGCAATCTATTAGGGGAGGCAAAGCGATGCCAAGCAAGTAATAGAGACAATAAGGACTTCAAAGCCAGAGCAATCAGGAAAGACCCGCATGGGTAGAAGTAAAGCATTTGACGAGGGTTTTAAAAGATGAGTATGTTTCTGAGAGAGGACCCAGTTTCTGTAAATGAATCCATTTCTTCATATTGGGCAAGGGCATTCATTCTATAATTGTTTATAACTATGAAAACAGTTCTTGCCCCAATGAAAAGATCAGAAGAGTACTAAGTACGTTTAAGGCAGATGTGTGCTTTAAAACAAGTAATAACAAATTAGAAAGTACACTTTAACCTATTTTGGGATCAGGTACTTCAGTGGTGCAAAGTAGATCCTAGTAACACTTGACGTCAGACCCTGTTCACTTTTAACATGTGGGTGAATCTTGGAAAGTATAAAGGAGTTAGGAGAAATGCCTGTTGAAACCTTTGTTCATTACTGCAGGAAGGACTTTTTTTTTTTTTTTTTTTTTTTTTTAAACTTTAGTTCTGATGTAAGAAATCGTTAACACTGAGATTCTGGAATAAAATCTTTATACTGACAAAAATGTATCTGAAATCATAATTTATTCATGCCCATGCCTTTATGTTTTAGGGCTACAGGTGCACCTGCAGGTTCAAGCACTGCCTCTGGCAGTAATCGAAGACTGCAGCAGACACAAAACCAAGTGGATGAGGTATTGCTCTGAAATGTTGGATACATGCATTTTAAACGAACACAGGAGTGCTCTGGAAATAATTCTGTTTAGAAAAAGTATAAAAGTATAAATGTAAAGTACATTTTGACAGTATCATTTGTTGTTGGGTGCTGTCGAGTTAATTTTGACTCATAGTGACCCCTCATGACAGAGAAGAACTGCCCCATAGGGTTTTCTAGGCTGTAATCTAGGGGGAGCCCTAGTGACACAGTGGTTAAGTGCTCGGCTGCTAACTGAAAGGTCAGCGATTCGAACCCAGCAGCCACTCTGCAGGAGAAAGATGTGGCAGTCTGCTTCTGTAAAGATCACAGCCTTGGAAACCCTATAGGGTAGTTCTGCTCTGTCCTATAGGGTAGCTATGTGTCAGAATCGATTCGGCAGCAGTGGGTTTTAATTTTTACTGAAGCAGATTGTCAGGTCTTTTTTCCCGCAGAGCCACTGGGTAGGTTTGAACTGTCCACTTTTCTGTTCGCAGCTAAGTGCTTAACTGTTGTGCCAGCAGGGATCCTGACAGTATCATAAACGTAACAAAAATTTCCCCTCCTATTGTCTGGAAGCCCTGATCTAAGAAGAAATTAGACTCTTCCTAGTTTCATAGTTGTTTTCCTGGAACTGTAAACACATCCTAAAACACACAGACTCCTCCCTGAGAACGTTCCCTAAGAAGCACTTTGTAAAATAGGGTTATAGAATTTTATAGATTAGGTCTTCAAATTGCTCAAGCCAGGACCAATCTTTCTGACTAGATTGTTGATCAAAATGCTTTGTAAGGGCTTACTAGTTACCTAACCTGAGCAGGCCCCTAGAGAATTCGTCCCTGACTGCCGCCCACTGACACACAGCAGGCAGATGTTGGCAAACTGCTGTAGTTCAACAAATCTGTATTTGTAGAATTCTTAAGCTGGAGGACTGTCAGAGCATCTTGTGTTACGTGCTTTATGTGCAGAACCACAACAGAAGATTGCTTGACAAATTCAGACTGTTATTGTCCAGTAAAGATATCTCAGTCATTCTGCATTTTTTGTTGCTAGGTGCCATCGAGTCGGTTCTGACTTACAGCAACCCTGTGTACAACAGAATGTTTAGCCGTCTTAAAAGCGAAGCTAAAGTTGTGTTACTCTTGTTAAATCAAGTAGTAATGTTTTGATCTGATAGTTTCTTTTATGAGTTTCCTTCCGAAAATTTCATATTTTCAAGCTAAGAAACCCAGTCTAATTCTGTCCTGCCTGAAACTTTCATTTATTTACAAAAGCAAATTGCCCCACCCCCCGTTTTTTTAATGAAAGTTTGGCCCAGAGTAATAAAGTGTTGACCTGAAAAAAATGGGTTGGTAGATTTTATTGGGAATTTTTGTTTTCCCATTTCTTTCTGTGTAATGTAGTGTGAACATATCCATCTAGGTGGTGGACATCATGCGTGTCAACGTGGACAAGGTGTTAGAAAGAGATCAGAAGCTCTCTGAGCTAGACGACCGTGCAGATGCGCTGCAGGCAGGAGCGTCCCAGTTTGAAACAAGTGCTGCCAAGTTAAAGAGAAAATATTGGTGGAAGAATTGCAAGGTAATTCTCTTTACACTGTGCCACCCTCTCCATTCTCAGGGATAGACAAAGGCTACTGTAAAAAACAGCATGGGGCCAGTGTCTGACCTCTTCTAACTTCACAATTGGGAAGGAGAATCAAGATCAGTAGCCTACGGCTGATCCTATGAGGCGGAAGTTAGACACGCTTCCTTTCTCCGCCATCTTCACTAATTCTGACACCAACCATCCCTCCCACAGCATGTACTACTTCTCTGCTGGGTTTGATAATTCACTGCAGTGGCCACACAGAACTCACAGACCATACTCGTGGTTATGGGGTTTATTAGGGAAGTGACCCGTTACAATTCAGGCTCAGGAACACTCAAGGATACAGTTCTTTCATCAGGACAGCCTCTTTGCAGCTGTGCTCACAGCATGCCTCTCCCTGGGCCTAGGCCCCTGCCCAGAGGCACTCAGCTTTCTCTCTCCATGGGCTGGGAAGCCCACTGTGCCGTCTCTTGCTGCCAGGTCTCTCCTGTCACTTCTTGCTGCCTTTAGTGTTATAGTTCTCTCATGCTCTGTCTCCTGATTCCAGGAGCTTCTCAGCACAGGGATCCCAAGTCTAAAGATGCGCTGGCTCTTCTTCCTCGGTTGTGGTGGGTTCTTCTTTTTTTCTGTCTCTGGAGTGGCTCATTTCAAGCCCAGCAAGATGGCAAAACTGACCAAGCCGCTTGGTGGGCCACAATTACTCTATCACACAGTCCTGCCCAATCACTTGGGTAGAAGTTACAAGATCATGATGGACATGGGAAATCGGGTGGAAAGGAGGAGCGTGCTGTCACAGTATGGGGACAAAAATTAGGGTCATATAACAGTGTATGTATAAATTTTTGTATGAGAGTGACTTGAATTGTAAACTTTCACTTAAACTACAAAAAGAAGAAAAAAAAAGTTACAAGACCATGGTTAGAAAGGCCACACAAAAGTGATCTATGGCACTGCAGGTACAGATCCTGGACTTCCATGAATCTAAGAGGTGGGTTCTGTACATGGAAATTTAGATAGACTCTGAGCATTGACTGCATACCATTTTCCTATCCCCACAACTAGGAATTCTCCATGTTTTATGGCTGACTTTAGAAACAGGTAGAACAGTAATGTCCAAAATTAACTGTAGACATAGCCCCTTCCAACCCCCCTCCTCAGCAGAGCCCGGGACACGGATTGAAAGGACACAGCTGGAATTTCTGGTCTGTTTGCGTGTGGTGCTGTGAATGGCACCAGGGCCCAGGGAAGGAGCTTCTAGAAAGCCACAGTGTGCAGGACCGGAAGAGTGGAAAGCAGACACGCAAGGGGCGTGGCCTAAGCAGCTTTTATGTAGAACGAAAGATGTGCTGCCCGCTTCCTCATTTAGAAGTAACGCTTGTAGACACTGGAAACAAGCTTAGTAGCCCTTCTTTATGTGGCAAACTTGTATATAGAAACAGATGGCTATCTCAGGACAACAGATCACTTGAATATCTTATAAAAAGCAGATAAGTACCCTTCAGGCCCTAATTGAGAACATTAGATTTAGGTCTTAGAAATTATGAATTATTTCAGACTGTAGTACACCTTAATATCTCTTTCAGTGAGTAGAATAGTGTATTGTTCTATGATATCTTCCACAAGCACATTTTTGAATGTGAATGGAAATCTGTTTGTTACAGATGTGGGCAATTGGGATTAGCGTTTTGGTTATCGTCATCATCATCATCATCGGTGAGTCACTGTAACAGTCTTCTCTGTGTGTTCACAGTGGGTTTCATGGACAAACAAAAGTTCCCCACAGATGTTAGTTTATTCTGAGGAATTTAAATTTCTTTAGTAAATTTTTACAAAGCTTCAGTTTGTATGAGATTTTTTTTCCTGAAATTTTTGACATAAACATTAATCCTTTGAAGAACCAGAAATGTATTCATTTCCACTGATTTATCAGTTTTTCTCTCTGAATATGTTTTCATCATATGTATTTCCTTTTATGGAAACCCTGGTGGTGTAGTGGTTAAGTGCTACTTAACTGCTAACCAAAGGGTCGGCAGTTTGAATCCACCAGGTGCTCCTTGGAAACTCTATGGGGCAGTTCTACTCTGTCCTATAGGGTTGCTATGAGTCGGAATCAACTTAGTATGAGAGGCAGTACAGTGTAGTGACTGTAGTGTGGCCTTGGGCATGTAATTTAATATCTTTGAACCTCAGTTTCCTCATTTGTAAAGTGGGGATAATGATAGTACCTACCTCCTATGCTTTTTATGAGTACCAAATTAACTAATATTTAAAAAGTGCTGAGGATGGTACTAGCATATAAATAATAAATGTATAACCAAAACCAAACCAGTTGCCATCGAAATGATTCTGACTCATGGTGACCCCATGTGTATAACTGTGCCACATAGGGTTTTCAGTGACTGATTTTTCAGAAGAAGATTGCCAGGCCTTTCTTCCGAGGCACCTCAGGGTAGACTTAAACCACCAGCCTTTCGGTTAGCAGTGAGCACATTAACTCTTGCACCACCGAGGGACTACAATATAGAATATGCTATTATTATTATGACTACGGAAACAATCCATTGCCATTTTTAGCTCAGTATATGGGAATTATTTAGAGAAACATGTCTTCCTTTCACTGATAGGTTGACGTTAGTGGAAGTTTCCTTTTAACAAGAATGTACTGTTGTTTGAATCCTTCCTTTTGATAGTCCTGTATAGAATATAGAGAAGTCACTAGGAGGAAATACGCCAAATTAAATTTCCATCATCTGTGGTTGGAAACTTGTTTAGACTTCAGCATTTGATGTTCATTCTGGATTTGCACCAAAAGACTGAACGTCTTTTTTTCCCTGATTTTCTCCACCTTCCTGCTTGTTAGTGTGGAATGTTTCTTCATGAATATCCTGTGAAACTCAAGCCTGCTGTTCAAGAAACCTCTCCAAGACTTTTGACTTAGAACCTGCTATATTATCTAGCTTACCTACTGTTATATCTAAAATGATATATTTTTGTTAGTTGATGTAAAGTTTGATTTCTGCGAAATGTGCCTTTGTTTTTTTAATATACACTCCAAACTAGAAGTGTAGTCTGCCCAGCCCACATTTTGCACGGTGTCTTTATAAATTCACATACGGGCTGATGAAGAGGACTTCTAAAGTTGATTAATTGCTCTTAATTCCAGTTAAGGGAATTTGTTCCAAGTTAGCTATCCTCTTCATATGATATTGTCTTCAGAGTCACATTTTAAACCTTTGAGTAATCAGATTTCCAACTTGTGCCTTCCTGAAAGAACACTACTACCTAGCCTAAATCTGTGGCAGTAACAGGCTGTGCCTTATTTTGATATTTTTCTGGGTCCCTCTAAAAGAACCCACTACTGTTTATAAGCACTACTCGCGCTTTCGCTGCATTTAAAATAAGATGCTGGTAAAGAATTTTTGCTCTTATATTAGATACGAAGATGTTTACCTTCTTGTTATTATTATGTATAACTTGCTAAAAAATAGTATTTTAATCAGAAATAATAACCCCTTTAAAAGCACAGTTTTTATAGAACTATGGCTGTGACCAAAGTTTCTATTTTGCCAAAAAGTTAAACCCTAGTAAATGCCGTGTAAGTCTGTTCCTGATAGATAAATGCAGAAAAGTGCCAAATGGAACTCAGGGTGCCCTTCAAAATTAAAACTGTAATATTGTGCTGAAGCCTCTACATCTTGGCAGGCCATCCTTGCTTTGAGATGCTGTAGATGATGTGACTCCCCTTCCAATTCAGCATTTTCCCAGGGGCTAGAGGAGGTTTGTGCCTCTAGATGGACGGTCCATCTCATTCCTATAGATAGGGAGTTTTATCCAGCAGTTTGCACATTATCAGCTGTGGACTCCAATATGTTTCTAATAATTATGTGAGAAACAATTTTGTAGCTTCAAGTAAGACCGTCTATGCATCTGATCATTATCTGGCCCAATCCTCTTAGACTATAGCTTTTTGGAGTTTATTTCCTGTTTTTACCCCATATTCTACTCCCGAATCAGTCTTCTAAATTGTGCTTTCAATTAGGCATCGGTCGGGGTGGATGACTTTTCATGGAGGATAGCTAACCAGAGACTTTGATGTCATAAACTGTTTGCACAGGATGCTACTTGGGAATAGCTACTGTCATTTGACTTCATTGTGTACTGAGACTTCCCACCTCAGGGTATGTGGCTTAAAGATGAGAGTGCAGGTATGAAGGAAAACAGGCAAGGGGGCACGAGGGAGCTACACAGAGGCTTCACCACTCTGTGGCCCATTGTTACTGGAATGTTCTAAAATTCTTATTCATATGCTGTTACATGACTTATAAAGCAAGAACAGCTGAGGTGCACCAGGACATGGCTTCCGTTTCTTTAATACCTGTTCCCCTAACATCACTAAAATTATGTATTGTTGAAGACTTGCCTTTAACAGTGAGAACAGAGAGCAGCTGTCAGTGTCGGGATGTTAGCTGTTGTCAGCACAGGGTCTCTGGCCAGGTCTCTGAACCACGGTGCTCTCTCTGTGGCCTTGATGCTCAGTCCCACGTAACCCACTGGCTCCTGCGTTAACCTAGAATACCTCGCTTGTACCTGTGCACTTAGCTGGGAACTTTCCCATTATAATGGACTGAATAAATTGTTTATAAACATAATTTTGGCTCCTGTGTTCCTTGTAGAGGGGTAACTAGAATAGCTGCACCTGGACCAAGTCATATAAATGATGTTCCTTGCTGCTCTCCCAACCTCTCCCTTATAAACACCCAGATTATACTGTCTCTTCTTCACTCTCACCAGTCCACTCCCTGGGTGCCATTTCCTTGTACCCTGTGTTGTTGAACAAGATGTTTTCCCATATGCAGGTGAACAGAAGCAAACCACTCCCCATGTGAAAAGCACTTTTCAGAATACTAGATGAGTGGGGATTGGTTTCTGCATGATTACCAAAATTTTGAGAATTTGGGTGTTGAGTTACCTAGATATATGGTCTTTCAAAAGTGATGTGCAGTCAGCCCTGTGGATGGTAGACTAGACAGCCACCTGCCTAGGATGTGGGTGGTGAGCAGCAGCTCCAAAAACAGGGCCCTCGTTTTGATTGTTTTCTTTCCCCCTTGGATATACTTCCACTCTAAATCTACCACCCCTAGGAAATAATGTAACATGGGTGAAAGTAGACTTTTGCCTGTGTTTACAGTGAAATGGCAGTTTCCTCTCAAATCTTGTTGGGAGATTGCCGGTATAGCCAATCGACTTTTCCAGCCTCGAATAGATGGTCACTGCTTTCCTTGTCTGACGTATTACTGTGTCCTGCGAAAGAACCAACTGTGGAATTGTTCCTTCTGTTCATGGCTTGTGTATAAGGAAATCTGTATGAACTACTGATGCCATTTATAAGATTCTGAAGGAAAATATTTCTTTACAATAAATGGGCATCTTTCTCTGTCCCTACCTTAAATGTCAGGGTTCTTCAGGGCTGGGTCTTTTCTTTCCACTTTACTTACTATTCCTGGGCAAGTTTATCCCCATAATTAATCGTTAATGTACCAATAACTCCTGGCCTCTCAAATTCACCATGCCCAAAACTGAATCAGTCATTCCCCTGCCTTCTCCTCCTCCTATCATTGATAATAGTCTGTCTCAGAGAGTGGCACCATTATCCACCCGATGTCCAAGCTAGACAAGTCCATAGGACTTGGTAATATTTTTGATCACTCGGGGCATAAGTTCGGGGCATGCTGTACAACCAACCTCCCCTAAATCTCAATGACTTAAAAGTTTTTTCCTTGCTCATACTGCTTGCCCAATGCCAGTCAGCAGGGATGCTGTACTCATCAGAGCCACTTAGGGAGGGACTTCTGTAAACATCTGTTTCAAGGTTATCACTGCAGTAGGAAGGGACTTTGACCAATTGTGTGCTGGCTTTTAAAGCTTCTGCCTGGAAGTAGCACAAGCAGCTCTGCCCTCATGTCATTGGCCAAAACAAGCCACATGACCATGCCTACCCTCAGGAAGGAGCCCTGATGGTGCAATGGTTAAGTGAAAAGCTACTAACCAAAAGGTTGGGGGTTGGAACCCACCCAGTGGCTCCACGGGAGAAAAACCTGGCATTTTGCTCCCGTAAAGACTGGTGGTGGTGTTAGGTGCTATTGAGTCTTCTGACTCATAGCGACCCTGTGAAACAGCATGAAACACTGCCCGGTCCTGCACCATCCTCACAATCGTTGCTGTGTTTCAGCTCATTGTTGCAGCCACTGTGTCATCTCGCTTGAGTGTCTTCCTGTTTTTCACTGACCCTCTACCTTATCAAGCATGATTAAGTCCCTATCCAGTCCTTCTCCAAGGACTAGTCCCTCCTGATAACATGTACAAAGTATGTGAGACGAAGTCTCACCATCATTGCTTCCAAGGAGCACTCTGGCTGTACTTCTTCCAAGACAGGCTTGTTCGTTCTTCTGGCAGTCCATAGTATATTCAGTATTCTTCACCCACACCGTAATCCAAATGCATCAATTCTTCTTTGGTCTTCCTTTTTCATTGTCCAGCTTTCACATGCACACGAGGCAACTGAAAATATGACTTGGGTCGGGCGCTATCAGTTGGAATTGACTCGACAGCAGTGGGTTTTGGGTCAGGTGCACCTTAGTCCTCAAAGTGACATCTTTGCTTTTCGACACTTTAAAGAGGTCTTTTGCAGTAGATTTGCCCAATGCAATACATTGTTTGATTTCTTGATTGCTGCTTCCATGGGCATTAGTTGTGGATCCAAGTGTCTTAGCCATCTAGTGCTGCTATGACAGAAGTACCACAAGTGGATGGCTTAACAAAGAGAAACTTATTTTCTCACAGTCTAGTAGGCTAGAAGTCCAAATTCAGGGCATCAGCTACAGGGGAAGGCTTTCTCTGTCGACTCTGGATAAAGGTCCTTGTCATCAATCTTCCCCTGGACTAGGAGCTTCTCTGCACAGGAACCCCAGGTCCAAAGGACACTCTGCTCCCGGTTCTGCTTTCTTGGTAGTATGAGGTCCCCAGCTCTCTGCTTGCTTCCCTTTCCTTTTATCTCTTGTAAGATAAAAGGTGGTGCAGGCCACACCCCAGGGAAACTCCCTTTACATTGGATCA